ACAAGTCTCAATAAATTTAAGATGACTGAAATCAAGCATCTTTACCAACCACAAAAGAACGAAACAAGACATCAAATCACAAGAAGAAACCTGGAAACAACACAAAGCTGAGGCAACTGAATAACATGTTACTAAAAAAACCCAATGAGTCAATGAAGAAGTCAGAGAGGAAGTCAGCAAATATCTCAAAAATAAAAATAAAATACAATTTTCCAAAATCTATAGGAGGCAGGAAATGTAGTTCTAAGAGGGAAGTCATAGTGATACAGGCCTGCCTCAAGAAACAAGGAAAATCTGAAACAACCTAACTCACCATCTAAAGCAATCAGAAGAACAAAACAGCCCAAAGTCAGCATAAGAAAGAAATATCAGAGCAGAAACAAATGAAATAGAGGCTAAAAAGAAAATAGAAAAGATCAATGAAAGTAAGAGCTGGTTCTCTGAAAAGATAAACAAAATTGATTAACCTTTAGACTCATCAAGCAAAAAAAGAGAAAGGGCCCAAATAAATAAAATCGGAAATGAAAGAGAAGTTACAACCGACACCACAGAAATACAAAGAATAGTAAGAGATTAATACAGATGATTATATACCAACTTTGAACAACCTCAAAGAAATCTAGAAACACATCCTTCTAAGACAATCAAGAAGAAATAGAAAATGTGAATAAATTGATTACTAGTATTGAAATTGAATCAGTAATCAAAAAACTCACAACAAAGTCCAGGACAAGATGGCTTCACAGATGAATTCTATAAAACACTTAAAGAAGAGTTAATACCTATACTTCTCAAATTATTCCAAAAATTTAAAGAGGAAAGAATGCTTCCAAACTCATTATCCTTATACTAAAAACTACAGACCAAGACTTTACCAAAAAAAATTAAAGAAAATTACTGACCATGGTACACAGTGAACATAGATGCAAGAAAATCTCAACAAAATATTAGCAAACCTAATTCAACAATATACATTTAAAGGGCCATGGTAGTGGTTCAGTCATTCAGTCATGTCCAACTCTCTGAGACCCTATGGACTGTAGCCTGCCAGGATCCCCTGTCCATGGGATTCTCCAGGGAAGAATACTGGAATGCACTGCCATTTCCTTCTCCAGGGGATCTTCCTGACCTGGGGATCGAACTGGGGTCTCCTGCATTGGCAGGCAGATTCTTTACCAACTGAGCCACCAGGGAAATCCTAAAAGGACCACATGCCATGATTAAGTGGGATTTATTCCAGGAATTCTAGGGTGATTCAATATCTGCAAATCAATCAATGTGATACACCACATTTACAAAATAAAGGAGAAAACTGCATGAGCATCTCAACAGGTAAAGAAAAAGCACTTGACAAAATTCAACATCCAGTTGCTTAAAAGCTCACAACAAAGTGAGTATAAAGGAATGCACCTCCCATAATAAAAGCCACATACAAGAGACCACAGGTAGCATCACACTCAAAGGTGAAAAGCTGAGAGCTTTTCCTCTAAGATCAGGAACGAGACAAGGATCCCTACCATCACCACTTTTATTCAACACAGTATTGAAGTCCTAGTACTATGAAAAAGAAAGAAAAGTTATCCAGATTAGAAAGAAAGAAGTAAAACTGTCACTGTTTGCAGATGTTACAATAGTATATATTTTAAAAAACCTTAAAGACGCCACCAAAAAAACTGTTAAAACTGATCAATGGACTTAGTAAAGTTGCAGGATACAAAAATCAATATACATAAGCATATTATATTTCTATAAACTAGTAACAAAGTATCAGAAAGAAAAATTCAGAAAAGGATCCCACATGGGATAAGTCAACCTCATACACCATTGGTGGGAATTTAAATTGGTGCAGCCAATTTTCCATGGAAAAGAGTATGGAGATTTCTCAAAATACTAATAATAGAATTACCATATGATCTAGCTATCCCATTTCTGGCTATTCATCCAAAGAATACAAAAACACTAACTGGAAAAGAAATACACAACCTTATGTTCATTGCAGCATTATTTACAATAGCCTATGTATAGATAAAGAAGATGTGAGATGTGTGTGTGTCTGTGCACTTATTCGTGTCCAGCTCTTTGAGACCCCATGGACTGCAGCCCGCCCTGCTCCTCTGTCTGTGGGATTATCCCAGCAAGAATACTGGAATGGGTTGCCATGCTCTCCTCCAGGGGATCTTCTTGACCCACGGATTTAACCCATGTCTCCTGTATTGGCAGGCAGATTCTTTACCACTGAGCTATGTGGGAAGTCCCTAAACATAAACACACACACACACACAAATACAATGGAATATTACTCAGCCATAGAAAGAATGAAACTCTGTCATTTGCAACAACATGAATGTATCTAAAGGGTAATGCTAAGTGAAATATGTCAGATAAAGAAAAAAATAACATACGATTTCACTTGTATGTGGAATCTATAAAACAAAATACATGAACAAACAAAACAGAAAAAAATTCAAAGATACAGAAAAAAAAAAAAAAACTGGTGGTCTCCAGAGGGGAGAAGTGCAGGAGGTTGGACAAAACAGGTGAAGAGAATTAAGAGGTACAAACTTCCAGTTGTAAATTAAGCCATGGGGATATAATATACACTATGGGGGATACAATCAGTAAGACTGTAATAACTTTGTATGGCAACAGATAGTTACTAGACTTACCATGGTGATCACTGTGTAATGTATATCAATGTTGAATCACTATATTGAACACTTAAAACTATCATAATACTGTCAACTATAATTCAACAAAAACAATAAAAATCTACACAATTTTTATTTAAAAAATTAAAAATCTACAGAGGCAAGCAAACAGTGTTGTTACTTTTCGAAATGAATCTGTGATTAGTGAAGATGAAATAATTCTCTGCCATGCTAAAACTGAGCAAGCATCAGCCAATGCGGAGAGATGTAAATAAAAGATCCCGTTCCCATTCTCAAGCAACTTGTAGACTAATGAGAAGACAAACATTCATCGAGTTTTTACAAGAAGGCTGGGCACTGAAGAATTGATGCTTTTCAACTGTGGTGTTAGAGAAGACTCTTGAGAGTTCCTTGGACTGCAAGGAGATCAAACCAGTGCATCCTAAAGGAGATCAATCCTGAATACTCATTGGAAGGACTGGTGCTAAAGCTAAAATTTCAGTACTTTGGCCACCTGATGCGAAGAGCTGACTCATTAGAAGAGACCCTGATGCTGGGAGGGATTGGGGGCAGGAGGAGAAGGGGATGACAGAGGATGAGATGGTTGGATGGCATCACCAACTCGATGGCCATGAGTCTGAGCAAGCTCCGGGAGATGATGAAGGACAGGGAAGCCTGGCGTGCTGCAGTCCATGGGGTCACAAAGAGTCAGACACGACTGAGCGACTACAGAACAACAATGACGACAATGACAATAGACTGTTCCAGCTGGAGAGCCAAAATTAGCAATTTTTTTAAAAATGTTAAAGCTCCTCATTCCTTTTTTTTTTTTACTTAGGTCTACAATCCTTTATCTTTAATCCCCAAATCGAAAAAGCTCTGAAAATGGCAAGAGTTTCTTTAGGATGGTAGCAATACCTGACTTGAATTAACATGAGGCTCTTCATCTTGTCTTATCCCATCCTGCATGAATATTCATATATTTTGCTGTTTAACTATTAGTATCTGTGATTATGGGGTGCAACTGAAGACGACTTCAGGACTGTTAGCTAATAGATGGTATATGTACTTTTTTACCTTGAGAAAATCTAATGAAATCTGCATTTGGTGACTCACCTGACCTCCAGGGTTTCTGGTGAGGAACTGTAGTCGGGAAACATTCCACTTTCACCTTCCAGCTTGAAAGGTGGCTAAGATCATGCTGATACAGACCACGGGCATATATACCACCCAAGTATGCTGTAGAACCTAGAAATCTGTGTCTGCGTTTGGTAGGGGAGTTGGCACGTGTAAGTCAGCTATTGTCAACTGTATAATTCCAGAGATAAGAATGAGTTTGTGCGTTTTAACCACTTACCTTTAGAGATGCATCTGGTAAGACAGGAAGTGTTCTGTTTCACAGAGGTTCCACGCCACTGTGGAGAAACAGCTACAAGACTTACCTCATGCTTGTGTGTGTTCCCCTGGGGACTGACACTTGTGTCTAACAAGGTGTCTGCTGGAAGGAGCCAGGGGCATCAAAGGAATCAGTCCCAGGCCACCATCTACAGCCATCAACCCTCATTCATTTTTCTAAACTACTGGCACAGTACTCAGCTAGGGGATGTGGAAACAACAAATAAATGATACATGATCCCAGACTATTCTCAGGGAACCTGCTCCAAAGATGTCTCACAAATAGTAAACTAGAAGAAAAAAAAAAAAGAGGAGAGAGTATTAGTCTGTAACATTAAAGAGGAGGTGAGAAAACCAGGTTGCTAAATTTTTTGAGCAGCATTTGAGAGCAGGGAGAAGAGTGTGTTTGGGGAGGTGACTGCTCCATTGGATGATATTTGAAGAGACATCCGGGCAAGAAGAAATCAAAGCATATCTTCCTAATTCTCCAGTAAGAGAACTCCTCGTTGGTACCTTTTGAGAGACATCATTAATGCCTTACTCATCAAGAAATCTGTGGGGTTATATTTATGCTCATTTTTATTTATTTTTTGCCACACTGGGTCTTCATTGCTACCCACAGGCTTTCTCTAGCTGCATTGCACACCAGCTTCTGGGTGTGACGCATGCGCTTTAGAGCGCAGGCTCAATAGTTGGTGGCATATAGGCTTAGTTGGGGGGTCCTGGGGAATCCTCCCAGGCCAGGAATCAAACCTGTGACCCCTGCACTGGCAGGCAGATTCCTAACCACTGTACCACCAGGGAAGTCCCGTTATGTTCATTTTAAAAATGACACTGACGTAGTTGACTGAGGTGCAGCCTGCTTTTCTTTGGAGTTGCAAAGACAATAAAGCCAGAAGGTTCGTATAGTGTCAGGTCCTTTGGCAACATTAGGGAAACTGACTGTAAAGGTCTTACCTTCAACACAAGAGGGCTGAGCCCGAGTCGTGCCAGCAACCTGTCCTGGGAAGCAGGAACACTTGACCGTCTGCGATCGCTCCTCGATGCGGTTCCTGTTACAGCATCTATGCACTGCCACCACCTCACAGGTCCCTTGCTTGATTTGGTGATGACCTGGTAGATAACAGGGAACAAAACAGACCCAGTACTGTTAGGAAGAAATGGAACTACCAAGAGGATCGACGATGCCACAACTACAGCTTTCAAATTCCATGTACTGTATTCATGAGTCTACGTAACTTTTTCATTTTGATGTAATCTTAAACTTAGATCAAGATAACAGGAATAGTGGCATGAACTCCTATGAACCTGCGGTAGACAGAAATTTGGCTTCTGGGACCTTTAGTCCCCTGGTATCATACCCATGGCTATGTTATGTTATTTACATGGCAGAGAGATTTTTGCAGCTGTAATTAAGATTATTAATTGGTTGAGTTTCAGAGAGGGAGATTATCCTCGATTACCTATGTGGAGCTAATGTCATCATATGAGCCCTTCAAAGCAGAGAGAGAGAATCAAAAGGGGAAGTCAGGTTGAAAACATGAGGAGGGCTCAAAAGCACCATTGTTGGCTTCAAGACAGAGGGGTCAAGAGTCAAGGAAATGGAGACTTCAGTCCTACAACTACAAGGAACTGAATTCTGCCAAAAACAGGGATGTGCTTGGAAACAGATTCTTCCATAGGGACCCCATAGAGGAATGCTGTCCTCCTGATACCTTGAATTTGACCCAGAGAAACCAGCCCAACTGTGCCAGTCTTCTCATAGAAACAAGCCACTAAATTTATGGTAATTTGTCACAGCAGCAATAGCAAACTGATATAAGACCTTTCACCAAGACTCCCTAATCATTAACATGTGACCGCATTTGCTTCATCATTCACTTTCTTTCATATATTTTTTCTGAGCCATTTAAGAGTAAGTCGAAGACATGCCATTCCTTCATCCCTAAATACTGTGTATTTCCCAAGAATAATTAATTAATTCTCTGACATAATTAGCAAATTCAGGACAATGAACGTTAACACAAAGCTATTATATAATCAACAATCCTCAGTTCAGTTCAATTGCTCAATCGTGTCCAACTCTTTGCGACCCCATGGACTGCAGCACTGCAGGCCTCCCTGTCAATCACCAACTCCTGGAGCTTGCTCAAACTAATGTCCATTGAGTTGGTGATGCCATCCAGCCATCTCATCCTCTGTCGTCCCCTTCTCCTCCCACCTTCAATCATTCCTAGCATCAGGGTCTTTTTCAAATGAGTCAGCTCTTCGCATCAGGTGGCCAAAGTAATTTCCCAAAGATGTTCTCCAGAGCAGTTTTCCTTCTCCCTCAGGATCTAATGCAGAATCCTGCATTATATTCAGTTCACTTTTCTTTAGTCTTCTTTTGTTAGAACTATTCCTCAGGCTTTATCTTTCACAACTTTGACATTTTTAAAGAATGCATGTCAGCTATTTTGTAGAATGTTCCTTACTTTGGATTTGTCTGATGTTTCCTCCTGATGAGTGTCAGGCAATGCACTTTTGGCAGATTACCCTAGAAGTGACACTATGTTCTTCTCTGTGCATCCTATCAGGAGGCACTTAATGTCCATTTATTCCACTACTGGTGCTGTAACTGTTAATTACATGCTTAAGGTGGTGTCTACCATGTTTCTCCATTTCTAAAGGTATTATTTTGCCCTTTGTAACTAATAAGCATTTTAAGGGGAGATATATTGAAACGATGGCAACACCCCATTCTTCATCAAACGTTCATCCACCATTTTTAGCATCCACTGATGATTTCCATCTGAACCAGTTATTAACATGATGGTTGCATAACTGATTCTATATTAATGTTCAAATTATCTCAGATCTAGACAGGAGGAGACCCTTCACATTGGCAGCTCTGTCATTTTGACATATCCCCATTACTCTTTGAGTTCTTACTAACTTTCTGGCTCAAATGGAGACTCAAAAATGTGCCAAACTCACCCTTTATTTTCCCTGCCGTCATCATTTTACTCAAAGGAGACCTGATTGTTTTCAGTGGGGCATCAGATTTAGAAACCAAGGTCTTGGCACAAAGGTTTATTCACTGCTACCAGGGAGTGATTTGGGGCTGAAAGGATAGATAGATCTAGGAGTGTGTGTGTGCATGTGTGTGCACAGCGTAAGTTCACACCAATATCTCCAATTCCAACCTAGCACCACAGATTCTCACTACTCTGTCCACAAGTCTCTATTTGGATCTTCTGACACCAACAATGACAAACCTGACTTCCACAGTCCTGTAACAAACAAAAAGTAGTTTAATTTACTTTGGAGTTCATTTTATCAGTTAGAACTCTTCTCTTGTAACAACGGAAACTGATCTGAGCTCACTTAATTCAAAGAGGATTTACTGGAGAAGTATCAAGAGAGTGCAGAGCAAAGACAGAACTTAGGTTAATAATGCGTGTGCGCTTAGTCACTCAGTCGTGTCTGAGTCTTTGCGACCCCGTGGACTGTAGCCCGCCAGGCTCCTCTGTCCGTGGGATTTCCCCCAGGCAAGAATACTGGCGTGGGTTGCCAAGCCCTCCTCCAGGGGATCTTCCCAATCCAGCGATGGAACCCAGGTCTCCTGCATTGCAGGCAGATTCTTTACTATCTGGGCCACGAGGGAAGTCCAGGTTAATAGTAGTGGAACCTATTCTCAGGGGTGGCCCTGAGGGAATGATTCTACTCAACGACTCTGCCGTTCTGTTCAAGGTCAGGTCAGCTGTGGCAGCCACCATCCAGGGCGATCCCCAGTCAGCCCTGCCTCCTCCAGTCCACACGTTTGTGCAGTCCCTTCCCACGTGGGACCAGGGCGGGTCTGCAGGACCAAGAGCCTCCCAAAATTAGGTGGCCACTCTTTCTGTGCCCTTTGTATCACTCACTCGAGGGAAACCATGGCATAAGTGGCCCTTATAAAGAAGACACTGAAGCCTCTTGCCACTAAACCCCGTGAGTGAGCTTCTAGGTGTATTTCCTCGGATGCTGCCCCAGCCCTGGTCTTTGTACCAATACAACAGCAAACACCAGAAGCAGTGGTTTGAGGAAACTGTGCTGCAAGCAGCTCTCTGGAGAAGGTCTTGTGGCCAGGAGTGAAAGTCTGTTGCCACCAGCCACAGAAGTGAGTAAAATAATATACAGTTGACTGTGTAAAATAACATACAGTTGGCCTGTGAACAATGCAGGAGTTAGAAGCACCAATTCCCACACACAATCGAAAATCTGAGTATAACTTATGGTTGGCGCTCCTTACCTATAGTTACACATCCACAAATTCAACCAACCACAGGTCAGGTGGCACCATAGTGCATATTTATTAAAGAAAATCAGAGTATACTGGACCTGCACAGTTCAAGCCTGTGTTGTTGAAAGGTCAACTGTATGTTGTTTCAAGCCTAAGATCAGGGCTAATTTGTTACACAGTAATAGATAACTAATACACTAACTCTGGTTATAACTAGGATGGAAAGACTTAGCTTTGCTCTGATTTAAAAAAAAAACAATATAAACAAGATTGCAGAGGTAGTGTTTAGAAATTATTAATGAAAGGCAAGTTTTTTGAGCACCCTCAGAGCACTCACCTCATGGTTTTCACAGATTCTATTTACATATAAATTGTTCTGTGAATTACAAGAAATCTCATCTACTCATTAAAACAGGTTTCCCCAAGGAGTCCCACGGGTTAATGTTTTGCTCAGTCACTGCTGTTTGGTGTATGTGCTTCGAATAATAAAACTCATTTTAAAAATTCCATATTTCAGATTTTCAGTCCATAAAGACAGGCCTTCTACAAAATAATCTCTGTATCATGCTGAATGATTTTCTGGCCCTTCCCTGTCATACCATCTTAAACGGTGAAAAACGAAATCCAAACCACAGTGAGAACAAACACTAAGGCAGTTTCATTTGTAAAATACATAAAAGTCGAACCAGTACCCAGAGAGTCAAACCACCAACATGAGAGACAGCTTTCAATCCACAACACAAGAACACATAAATATGAAAGACATAATTAAAACTATAAACCTAATTAAATGTTTGCAAGAAGAGTGTTTATTTCCCATAGGTAGTTGTGTATGACTGTAAGGAAGCACATAAGTAAAAAATAAAGGGTAATTACAGTGTCGGCAAAGTAGCACGGAACTTCCGCAGCACGTGAGCAGAGAAGTGGCGATGGGGAAGAGTTCACAGGGAGAGTCTTTCCCCAGTTTCCAAGTGCACATAAGCACCTTCGGGTCAAACGACCCCAGACAGGTAACGACTGGGGGTGGGGGGAGAAGGGTGGCCAAGCCTCCCTCGGTGACCCCCTCCCTGTCAGCTGCCACGACACACGAACACAGACTGGGTGGCCTCAAAAACAGACATTTGTGTCTCAGAGTTCTGAAAGCTAGACACCCAAGAACAAGGTGCTGGGCAATTCAATTCCTGGTGAGAGTTCTTTCCCTGGCTTTAGACAGTCTGTTTTAAAAAAAAAAAAAATTTAATTTACTTACTTTAGTTTTCTGGCCACACAGCATGTGGGTAAGCTGTCAGTTCACCTGGCCAGGGATCGAACCTATGCCCCCTGAATTGGGAGGTTAGTGTCATAACCAACGGACCGCAGAGAAGTCCCCCTCCTTCTTACTGTGTCCCCATACAGCAGAGACAGCACACTCGAGCATCGCTTCCTCTTCTGAGGACACCAGCCCTATTAAATTAGGGTCCACCCTATGACCTCATTTAACTTTTATCACCTCCTCACAGACCCTGTCTCCAAATATAGTCACATTTGGGAGTCAGGGCTTCAACATATGAATTTGGTGGGGGAAGTCTATAACAGCCATCATGCCTTAATTAGGTCTTAAATGGCCATAGAGAGTCTATAATGAAAGCAGCTCTAAACCTCACTAAGAAAAGAAATATGCTTTAGTAACTTCCTAGACTAGCCAAGAAGTGATGTGAACATTCATTAATACTATAGTTTGCTGAGAGTTTTGTTGCTATTCAGATAACCATCCACAAATGCAAATAGATTTTTTTTTCTATTCAGTCTTGTCTCTGAATAATCAGCTTGCCTGGTGTAGATTTTATTCATTTATATAGCACCAACTCTGGTA